GTGATTGTTGCGAATAAAAGTGCTGGTTGGCAATAATCTTCAAATGACTTGGCTTTGCAGAGATGTATTATTTTTGTATGTAAATTCATCACAAAACATTATATTTAGAGAGGAAAGACACAAACAACTTTTAATCCAACTAAATGGTGTGAGGTTCATATACTTAGAGACAAAATGAAAAATGATTAAATACTACAATATTATTAATAATAATAATAATAATAATAATAATAATAATATAGCCCTGCTAAGTGCAAGCGTGACAAAAAATGCAGATTACTTGTCTATTTTGCAATTGTTAATTATCTTTTAGAAAACAAATTTTGAAACCATGTCCAGGTGGTCACTACCGACATGTTTAACAATAGTGAATGCACACGTATACATTTTGCTTGACATGCTAATCGTTTATTTATCTATTTATTTATTTATTCCTTAATAAGCAATATGTGTACACATCTATATCACATGAATTTTTTTTGTTGATTCTGTCACTCTCAAGTATGCCCATTGAATCCCTTGCAGAAGCACGATTGGCCGCGGTGTGTATAAGTGTATCGATTTTTTGTGTGTATGTAAATGTAGATTATTATCATCATCATCATCATCATCATCATCATCATCATCATCATCATCATCATCATCATCATCATCATCTCTATCATCATCATCATCACGTGAGCGAATCAAAAGCTTTGTTTTAAAAATTCTATTTGTTTAATTGGATGATTACATGTCATCTCTTAAACATGCAGTAGGATAGTAGTTCATTTAAGTGAGAGCAAGGCTTCAGTGGTATCACGCTTAAAATTAAATCATCGTTTTTTACTAAGTTATTAGAAAAATAGCTTTACTTGTATGTTTTAGACAAAAAAGATTTTTCCTGTCCATAAACCAATAGTTTATTTCTTTTTGTTTGTTTTTCGCCACCCTTTGTACTGTTTTCAAGGCATCTTGCTTACTATTTTTTTTTCGTACGCTTTTGAAGGTATTTTTGTGACAATCGAGTCGCAATATCGCAAAACACACATCGTAATCATACTTTTTTGTTTTTAGCTAGTTGATTTTTTTTTTCTTTTTTTTCTCGTTTGCTTAATATTTTCAAAAAACACAGACAGTTTTATTTTTGTATTACTTCTTTTCTCCAAACTTTCCTAATCTTTTAATCGTCAAAATCACCATCGTTACAGTTTTTGTCTCATTTCCACCGATACATATCTAAAACTTCAACATCAAATATAGAAAATATATGTCGTTATGCTTTCACATATTTAGATACACTTTACAATACATATACACTATTTATACACGTAAATGATATTTGATTTTGCATTTTTCGTTATCATGTATATTTATAATTTTTAAAAATTTACTTTACTTTAGATTATTTTTTTTCGCTTCAGCGTTAGATTCGTTCAACGAACGCCATGCAGACCAGACTAGCTGGTTCGACAACTCCATTCTTCCCCAAGCAAATGAAAACCCAGCTCTCCCTGTACCTCTTTAACGCGACGGTGACGGGGCACACATTTCACATAAATATATATATATATATTTTTTTTTGTATATATATGTATATAGGTAGACGTCATCGGCTCCCTCGAGTTTAACATAAGCTTCTTTCGACTTGTACAACCTTAATTAATACCCTCCCGATTGGGCGAAGCTCGACGACGCGAGCTCCCATCATATCGAAGGATTATCATCCAAAGGCGTTGTCGAGGGCGGACGGACGTAGGCTCGACTCGACGCGAGGCTTATCCAGCAGCCGCGACGGCGACGGCGACGGCGGTACGGTTGTCTCGTCCGCCGATAAAAGAAACATCACCAGCGCCACAAGCTGCAACAACAGAGTCATCATCGTCGTGGTGCTGTCTGGGTGGTCGCAATCTTCATTTTCGCTTGGCGTGCAGCATCTCCATCAGGAGGGTCTGCGTGGGGGCGCTTCCGCTGCAGTGTTTCGCGTAAAGGTGCTCCTCACCCTTTGACGCCACCAGGTGGATCTCCCTGAATACGTCGAGCAACCTGCTGAATTTGTTCTACACAGGGAAACAAAAAATAACGATTTTTTTATAAATTCCTTGCAATTTTACGTTCGAGTATGTATCGTTGTTTTTAATCAATAATTATATCCCTGTTGCCCTTTTTTCGTACTCAGTTTTGCAATCATTTTAAACACGTTCGTTTATTGCTCGCAGACAGTAGTCAGCCGTTCATAAAAAAGTCCCGAAATAATTTTAACACTATTTACAACAGATTACAATAAAAAAAAGTACAGGCCTCGTGACCGTTGTTCTTGAAACTGATTCTTTAAAAAAACAACTAAACGTTCAAACGCAACTTTAAAATTATATCTTCACAGATTACTAATCGGTGTAAAATATTTTTTACCCACTCATTCAACAAGTATAACTCAATTATCAATATTTTGGTATCAATCATTGTAATCTTTTGCACTGTCAAGTGACGCGGTAGCGCCACGCCGACAAGTACAGGAGCACTATGACAGCGTGGACCCCACAACAATTCATGAAGTATACAATTACAAGGAATGATGTGCGTGATTCATCAAGAGATACAATGTTAAAATTGACATCAGTAACGCATTGACTTCCTTTGGAAAAAAAAAAAAAAAAAAAATTACTCAACCCAAATGGAGTATGATCTCTTGTAGAACTCACCGGTATGTGCGGATAGCACGTTAGCGTGTAGTCCAGAAGCGTTTGCTTGACTTGCTCGTGACCCTCTTGTACATGTTTTCGATTCACCAAGCCGCGAACATCTGTAAACAATAAGATGCATCGAATCATCACCAACAGTTCCTTGATTATCACGGTACCGTGTAGGTTTTAAAAATGTGTTATAGTGAGTTTGAAGTATACAGGCAAGGGTTGTAATTGACAAATGGAACGAACCGTGATTGAGCAGCAGCAAAAACTTCATGCAGATGTAGTCGCCGAGGTCGAACTTGAGGTGGGACAGGTTGACGCAGATGTTGCGTATGACGTCCCGGGTGGAGGGTACCCCGAGGAGACCCAGACAGAGGAGATCGAACTTTTGGCCGTTGGGCAGGGCCATCTCGTCGGGCAGCCGGTTGTGCACCCTCTGGTGCACGTGGTCCAGCACCAGCATGTCCGACCACGAGTGCTGCAGCAGCTTCATTTGATCGTCCACCTGTGACGGGTTATAGTCATCAGTTAATTACATTTTTATCGGCTACAAGTTGAGATTAGACTTAACATTTCATCACGCAATTGCACATGATTGTTCATCACTCTTTTCCATACTTTTTGTAAGTTAAATGCCGCGGGAGCGTCAAATGCGAGGAATCAAGTCCAGGTGATTCGTTTTGTGTAATTTCTTAATTTGACATGAAACCTGTAACGCTTGCAACTTTTGGCGTTAAACAGCGTCCAACTTTCATTGTGCCCTCTTCGGTTCGCTCGATATCGAGAAGAGGTTTCCACAATAAGTAGGCATAGGTACAAAGACAAAACAACGCCTCTAGCCGTGTATAGGTGTGTATACTGGTAATGAATGAAAAGGGTAGATACGAGGGGGAAGGGGAACGACAAAGGAGCTAGTAGGTAGAGCTATTAAATTATCACGCAACGAGCGCCCGTTACAATTATATATAGGCACTACAGCATCGCGCAATAACTTAATTAAAGCCGTCCGAGTCGAATAACGTTGTATGAACTATACGTGTATATAATTATGGCATATAAACAAAGGCAAGCCAAATAGAAGAACTGGGCTGGGTTGGTTGGCTATTTGATGGGGTGCGGGTAGGGGGGGGGAGAGAGGGTTGATATAACTATACTGTTGCTATTCACGTATGTCATTCCAATAAAAAATCAAAACGGTGCACGAGAGAAGGGTGGAAAAAAGTGGAAAAAGGAGGGGTCATCCAAATGGAAGGAAAACCATTGTACTCCTCCCGCTCCTCCGTGTGTATCTGCTGGAGAAGTAGGAGGTGGATGGTGGGGGGGATAGAAACTTTGGGGTAACTGCCGTAACCTAGAAACGTAAGTATCTCGTTATGACCTAGATATGAGGCGATGCTTGAAATCATTCAGCGATTGTGCAATGCCGCCGCTGCCACGCGCGCGCTTACCTCACATCTCTCTCCCCTCTCCGAGCCTCCTCTCTCTCTCTCGCTCCATCTGCAGCCGCAGCTACCGAGCGTTTTATACTGTACAAGTATTATTCGCTGCCGTTTACCGCTCGCTCATTATTCTACCCGCGCGCCTGCACGTAGATGTATTATGTTATACACGTATACATATGTATATATATATACTACACACACCTAAATAAGTAGTTACGCTCTTGCACCGTCCATATATATATACTTGCAAAATAAGTAATGCGCGCAAGCACATGGAAGGTTCCACGTCAATGGAGTGTATAAAAAAAAACACTTTTTTTATTTTTGTCTTTCACGTCGGTGTACAGAAATGACTTCAAATTCCTATACATACCAGTTTGGTGGCGTTTACAAAATATAGGTTGCACTATTGGATCGATTTTGGGTTTAACTAGTTTTTTTTTTTTTTTATTCAAGACGATTCAAATTTTGTTTTCGAGGTTTGAAAACTTCAATAAAAAAACTTTTAGGCAAATTATGCGTTGATCTTGTATAAATTAGCTCATTTTTCATCGAGTGATTTTTTTTCCATTACTTTATTTGTCAAAAACCTTCATGATTATATGGATCATTCTACAAAAACTGCAACATTTTCACGCCCTAATTGAGATTTTTTCAATTGAATGTTTAGAATTTTTTAATCATTTTTTCCAAGTTTTATAAGGTCCAAACTAGTTGGAAACTTTTGGGTCCGACTTTACGATCATCCATTAAAAACCTATGTTAATTTAAATGCATTTTTTAAGAAATTCAAAAAGAGCACTATGATAATGACAGACTTGTAATGGTACTTTTTTGCGACTGTGAAGCCTCAAGGTGAAATTTTTCGAAGAAATTTCGTTTGTCACATCTGCATTTTATACACTTTTGTACGCTACAGGCATCTAATCGATGATTTCAAATCCCTCGGAGATAAGGGGCATTACCGTGTAATAATCGCTTATTTTACCGGGAAAAACGATACGTATTTGCGACGATACTACAATTAGCCAAATGAAAATTTGGCGCTGCAAAAAAATTGACAGTGTTCTTGTACACTCCGAAATACAAAACAATTAACTCCAAATGCCTGAAAATTAATCACTTGGCCCAATTAAATCATTTGTGGTGCGCAATTCAAAGGTGTCAAAAGTAGGCTTCACAAACAAAACGTCCCTAACTTGCAAACAAAACTGATACATATTATTTATGTGTGGTACATAGATAGGTAGGATGATGACTTTTTCTTGACAATGAAATATTACACGCTAAAAGTACTCAGTTTAAACAAAAGCAAGGTCCCCGAGAGAGAACCCGCACATAGGCCAAAAATTGGTACACTTTTTTACGACTCACTGAAGCTAAATATCACAAAAGCTCGTTCCTCTGCATTATATGTATAAACTCTGTAACGGCAGCTCCAATGTATATATACATGTTCTTATAATTACGTGCTGGGTGTTGCCTACATTATAGATACGCAATCTCGTTTTTGTTTCCTTGTAGTACCTATACACGTACAGTTGTCTCTTTTTTTCCCCCTCTCGCTCGGTTTACTTATTCTGCTTTTGTTTCCGACATCTCTGCACTTACTGTACTTACATTTCTTCCCTTCCACTTCGGCCAAAGTGGGTCGTTTTCGTAAACTCCTTTTCTTTTATTCAACGATGCGCGCAGTATACCTACCCAAATATTAAACCCCGACTTTATATATTTTTCAGTGTGTACACGTAAACCGGGGACGACCAGGCAGAGCGAGACAGAGTGACGTTAGCCCCGCGAGTACCACCTACATGGCCAACTGCCCTAGTGAAATATATCTGATCTCCTTACTTAGGGACACCGACAACAACAAAAATGATCCGAGGAGCGCGGTGAATTGCCGTTCAGGCAGAACTCGCTTAACAATCGGCAGCACTGTTTACCAGCTGATGCACTGAGAGACAAGTATAATAAAAATTACTGTGCTGGAATGGTAATCTGCTGTCATTCCGGCGTCTAGGGACTTTTTACTTTGGCCAACCTAATTTTTATCGTATTCTGGACAGTAATTTCTCTTGTACAAGCAGAAAAAATCACTGTACTCACAACAAAAAACTACTTTTATTTATTGTCCCAATAGTAAAAAGTCTCTATACGACCGCACAGTACCAGATTACCATTCCAGCACAGTAATTTTTATTGTATTTTTCTCTCAGTGTGCTATACGCTTGATAAATTTCATAACTATACATCATCCCAAACTCTCGCTCGTACTTACAAGGCAATTATAATCACGTACACATGATATTACATGTATGAACGTGGTCTCTATATACTTTTTCGCGCCGTTTGACGCAGACTTTGGAAACCCTCGCCAAAACTTCTCCGCGCTTCTTCTGTTCGCACGCGCGTTTCTCGCTCTCTCGGGTTGCTCTAAACTATATATTTATATTCTCTCTACGCATGTACACACACGCACCATTGGTTTTGTAACAATTGCAACACGTGGTATTGCGTACCTTGGAAACTTACGACCAAAGTGTATTATATTATATACCTGTACCCGATGCTCGCGATCTCCAAACGCGCGAACACTTTTCATGTATACATATATATATTTATCACGTAATATAGGCATAAGTGGAGCGCGCCCGTGTGTTATTAACAATGAAAGGCGCACGTGTAATTATTAGTTTATGATGGGAGTGATTTCATTAATTTTTTTTTCCTCTTACTCCTTGTACTTTCGTCGTTGGATCGTTATAGGGAAGTAAGTATACGTTCGTGGCGCTACATCGACGAGGATCGGGAACTCGTGGCAAATTCAGTGTATGGGCGCAATCGATACCGAATGATAAAATATTCTTCCCCAGACCAAAATTTCCTGCACACGCCGACCAGACGAAATGTAGAAAAAAAAAAAAAAAAAAAAAGTCGAAACGAGTCGACTTGTAAGAGTATACGGTATAGAGTTTTCGCGAGCGAGAAATAACACGCAAGTGGGTATAGGTATATATAAATGTAACAAGAGCAAAGCAGCGGCTCCGCACTCGAATCGACGTTTATACTCCACCCCAGCCCACCTCCCTGACGCATGTATATAGGCGCTGGAGCGACAGTAGGTCAGTTGTGCGGTCGAAGCTCGCATTATTGCCTCCGCCTCGATTCCGAGTACAATCGAGCCTCTGTGTGTGTGTGCGCACGTTGAACGTCACCCACCCCGCCACGAGCGCGCGGGGATCGAGCTTTTACGCGTCGGTACAATTACCGCCTTGTGTACGAGGAGTACCTATATACGCGTTGTGTGTGCCTCGTATACGTAAATGTTTGATGGAGAATTTCGCGGAACGACTCATTGGCCGTGGATGGCGCGCGTGCTATCTTTTCCCTCGGACTCTTTTGGATATTTCCAAACGCGAACTTTCGTTGCCTATTATCACCCGAGTGTCATCAAAAATATGTCGAGTTGATTCAACAAACATTATGTTTTTATTTTTTATTTTTATGATAATTGTGAGATGTACATTGTTATAGATAAGGTGCAATACGTCATTATAGAGCACTCGTAGGGCTCAAAGTACAAAAATGAGTGCCCGAGTCGCGTATGTTGTTTTTTTTACCCAATGGACAAAAGCTCCCTTGTAATCACTTTGGGCCCTATAGGACAAAAAAGTCTTTTCCGCCCTCGGGTGGTTTTGGGAGGCTGGTACTTCCTCGGGCGAAAAAGCAGTTTTCCGGAACTCGTTCGAAAAGTCTTTTTTATGAACCTCGTTACGAACCTCGCCTTCGGCTCAGGCCGCAAACCTCTCGGTTCACAAACAGAGACTTTTCAAACTCGTAGGAAAACTACTATTTCCGCCCTCGGGTGGTTTTGGGAGGCTGGTACTTCCTCGGGCGAAAAAGCAGTTTTCCGGAACTCGTTCGAAAAGTCTCCTTTACGGACCTCGTTACGTCCCTCGCCTTCGGCTAGGGCCACAAACCTCTCGGTTCGCAAACAGAGACTTTTCAAACTCGTAGGAAAGCTACCATTGGTACCATCCGGACTCAAAGTACTTATCGGCTCTAGGGCCCAAAGTGATTTACTGGGCGCAAAATTGCACTCTGCGCCCTCGGAAAGAAAAAAACAATGTACGAGACTCGGGCACTCATGTTTGTGCTTTGTGCCCTAGTGACGTAATGTACCAAAAGTCGTATTGTCCATTCGGGTACCTTCGGGGGTATAGGTACACCCAACCGAACCACACTCAAGACCAGGGATGTTTGAAACTCAAAAGATCACGTTGTGTTGGCGAACCAATAAAAAAGTTTTGGTGGTCGTAGATGTATGGTTTTGTTGGTTGTACGGAAAATGATGAGGCACGTACCTTGAGATCCTTGAAGAAGACGGAATTCCGCGCCCAGTCGACCTGCGAGAAGAGATTCTGGTCGAGGACCTTGCACATGAGCTCGAAGAGGTCGACCTCGCACTGGTTGTACGTCTGGCTCTGCAGGAGGTTGTACAGCGAGGCCTGCCACTCGCGGTCGTCTATCGTCTGGACAAAGTCCTGGATAATCGGACTAGCTTTCGAGTGGACCTGGAGGAGCGACTGGTCGTCGCGCTGGCCATCGGCGGCCCCGCCACCCGCTGCCCCCGCGTCCTGGCCGTGGTGGCCCGAGGAGAGCTCGGCCGGGTGCGCGTGGGCGCCGTTCCCAGGTCCAGAGCCGTTACCACCGCTGCCGGGACCCCCGTGGTGGTGGTGGTGGTGGTGATGGTCGGTGTGGCCAAAGCCACCCGAGGAGGCCCCGAAGCCGGTCTTGGGACTCGGCGTCGTCGAGTTGGCCGGCCAGAGCTTGCCCGCCCCGTCCAAGGGGTTCGAGCAGTTGCCACCGGCACCCGCGCTCCCCAGCCCTCCGTGCAGGTGGTTGCCGTTGTTGCTCGTCGCCGAGGACAGCGAGACTTGCGTCGACGGCGCTATCAGCTGGTGCGCGCTCTGGAAATGTTTTTTCTTCGTTATATTCCGCTGTATTTTATGTTATTCAAGGGCTCAGAGAGTTTGAGTGCTTGGTTTTGGTGGCTCATTGGCTCGGGGGAGAAAATAAAGAATTATGGTTTCGTCCCACGTGATTGTTACGTCATAAAAACAATAGAGATGACTATGGGTTCGATTTAAGTAATCTGACACTTGTCTAACTACTTAGTGGCCGAATAACTTTACGAAAAAGTTTAAGCTGCTCTCATATTGGATTGAAAAAATTAACCTCAAACTGTCTTTTGGAACTAGCATTTGTACATTCAAGTATGGCCGAAAGCGCTACGAGGCAAGTTTGGGAACAAAAATTTGGAATTTACCAAGCAAGTTTACCTTCATCGCGAATAAAATAGTTTCCACTTGTAATTAACTTTTTCTGCATCCCATTTTTTCCATAATTTTCATCAAACATACAACTGTGTACTTAACTCAGCATAATCATCAGCAAAAATAAATTTCGTGGTTCTAATATTTTATTGTGTCTCAAACTATTTTGTAAAAAAAATGTGTATCATCACGGGCAGAGTGAGTAATTAAAATATGAAAGTCATGCATCTTCACCTATATAAGATTTATTATGAACTAGATACGTATGCATTTTTTTTTTTTTTTTTTAACCAATTGTGTAGTTTAAACTTACGTTTTGCTGAATATTTTTCACGTGATTTCAGCCGCGTACACGGAAGGAAAAAGTCACAGGAATTTTTACTGTAAAGACAACGGTAACTTGAGGACCAAAGATTTTCAACTATAATTTTAACAGAGCTTCGCGGTGGTAATTTATTAGGTATACATCAAAGTTGTTACCACAGGGAAAAGTATGGGTGGATTTTGCCCTAAAATTTTTCTTCAGTGTGATTTCGGGTTATCCTTTGCGCCCCAGATATTACAAACTTGAGTGGAATTGCATAAACGTATCAGGTAAGGTGGTAACTTTAGTAAAATTAAGTAGGAACTATTAGGGTAAGAAAAACGTTTAAACCAGTCCCGGAGATGTTCGTACCGGTTCGTACGATGCGCTTTGAAGGGCGTCAAAGTATGGGTTTAAAGATCTTAATAAAGGATGCACACTTACCAATGGAAATGTTACGTAAGGGGACAATAGCAATAATGTAGGATCATATTTTCTTAATCAGGGAAAAATCAGCGTAACTTGATGGTACAAAGGAGGGTTAGGCAAAAATCTTTTGGTCCCAACTTTACTGGGACTATTAAAGTAAAAATTCCTGTCACTTGTTTCTTCGGTGCCGTTCGATTATCCAAACCAGTAGAGGCGGACAATATTGGCACATGAAGCGATTACACAGAGATGAAGAAAAAAAAAAGTATGATAAAGGGGGCAAACTGGTTATAAGCAGCTGTACAATTAAAGCATTTAAAGCTTGAAAACGAAGAAATTGTGAAAACGGGTTTCCCAGCCAGGGGACCCGTTGCTGTTGGTGTTCTCAAAGGAAAAAGAGCACCTGATGTACTCGGGTAAGGTGAAAAGTATAAAAGACTTGACATTTTGTACTCACAGACACGCTGCCGGCTTGGGTGGTGACGAGGCCAGCGGCCACGGCCGCGGGCGAGGGCGACGAGTCCGGCGAGGAGGTGAGCGACGATACCTGGGGTATCTGGATCTCCTGTTTGATGAAGGGCGCCACAATGGCCGGGTAGCTGGACGGGTCGGCGAGACTGCCGCGCAAGCTTTGCAGGGCTATTTGGCGCTGCCTCATCATTTGCAGCTTCCGCGCCCGGTCTCGCTTGTACATCGGGCCGAACTTGTTCCTGCCGCCCCGCATCCTGTCCGCTCGTACCGCTGCAACACCACAAAACCAAACGATTATTCGCCGTTCTTGATTCCTTCTTTCTCCTTATACGCTATTTCAACATTATTATTATTATTTTTTTCTTTTTAATCTTACTTATAAAATAGAATCAATTGAATTTCGGAGGGATGGAGTACGTGGATGACGGTGCATTGGCCACATTTTTAATTGTGTCTCTTTCATTCTAATAAGTACTTTTGTACGTATAATACTGTGCGTAATAGATACGACGTTGTAAGAAAATTTATATACTCATTATCCTTTTTCCCCTCATCTGTTTGGAGTACATTTGGATGCATGTCAACCGCCTCTTAAATCCTTACATGTATACACGAGTACACAGCGTATCGAGAGTGAAAATAAAATCGTACACCCGGACAACAAGTCACGTCGCAAGTTAGATGCCGGAACGTGAAACTACAGGTATCCGTGTGAGAAAAACAATCGTTTTGCATCAAATCACGGTTGTTGAGTGCCCGAAGCAACACATTACAGAGGCATCATAAATACAGGTACAGGTATATCTATACCTACAATGAACTGCACGCGCACAGTGCACATTAAATTAAAAGTATTGCATACAACACCTGTGTGACATTGTTTAACATGCTAAACGCCGGTGAGTCTATGATCTAAAGCCTCGGCGATGACGACGCAATCTAGTGTATATTTTCAAAACTACAACCGCCATGAATATTCCGAGCAGCCGTGATTCCGTGACTCATCGGGACTATTGGGCGATGCTTCGGAGCGCAACGACATACCTATACATGGGATTAGACAGCACGGGTGGAATATGGGGGCCTCGATACATTCTACATTCGCATAGAGGAAGGGAAACAGTCCACGAGAGGCGCGCCCGCGGGCTCTCGCCGCAACAGTTTCTGCGTGTGCGCACAATACGTGGCTCAATCGGCAGCCTTGGCTCCCAGCGAGGTCGAGGCGCGATGTATATCGTTAAGCCATGCCGAGGATAGCGTATTGCATGAAAAATCGCTCGCGTCTGGTTATATTGCAATGTACAGCTGTACGTATAGGGACGTGGAAATCGGAGCACCCGCGGCCACGGACGCTCGCGCTAATGGAGTCGGGTGTACATCCCCACGGAAATAAACATCGCTTGTACCCGAGTATCTATACATGCATCACCAGAAAAAGACGCGAACGACTTGCCGGTAGTGTAGCTACCATTTCCCCCTCGATCTTCAAAAGACTTGCCCAACGCAGATTTAAAGCTACACCCCGCAATGTATACGGAAACTATAATGCAATTTTTATCTTCGGGGCCCGTTCCGATAAGCCACTGCAGTCGGGGTTGCGAAAAACTTGTAGAATGTTACGATACATAAACGCGTGTGCCCGCGCGGATTTTCGGATTTAATTATCGATACATGCGTTCCGGAGTCGGCGGGCGATCGAAATCGGTGGTGGTGGGTTGTTTTTTTTTTTTTTTTTTTTTTTTTTTTTTCTTCATGCTATTCGTGAAGAGTAGGAACCTACAGACGCGTACATCGCTGCAGAAAGACACGCGTACATACGAAAGGATCGAATCGATAGTTGGAAAATTTGATACTCGCGATTCACGAGCGAGGGAATAAGGAGGGCACGTGCACACGTGTGTATACGTATAACGTACACGANCCCCCCCCCCCCCAACGTAATTGAGAGCGAGCATTGTCGTCGCAAAAAACTTGCCCGAATGGCGATAAGTGTTTCAGATGAGGACAAATCACGGGGTAAAGAAAAAAGAAAACAAACAGCGTAATCGACGGGCTGCGTTATCTCGCTCTCCACCTCTCCCTCGTCGTGCATATGGTTATGCAATAATGAGATAACGCGAGTTATTTCTGGAAAGCTAATACTCCGAACGGAAAAAGCCCGCGAATGACAAAAAAAAAAAAACTCTTGCCACGTTGATGCCCACCGCGCCCTGTCACCGAGGGTGGTGGGCTTCGATGGTACTATAGTGCTCGTATATCGCGCGATCCACGGAAAAAAAAAACCCTCTATCGTTCTTGGCGTACTGTGCACGGGATACCTGATACCTGTTGTACTACAGGTACAGCAGTAGAAACAATGACAATAGGTACACTTTCCGCGATCACTGCAGGAGTCGTTGCATTATAATTAGGCAGGCCATTCATCGGCACCCGGCGACCTCATGGACCACGTATTATATTGTACATGCGTTACGTATTCAGTACCGGCGCGGCTATATACCTATACATGTATGATGATACACAGTAGGTACACTCGGGGTGAATCGAAATCGGCAAACAAAGCGGGTACAGCTGCTACTGTAGCGCAAGGCTCGGCTGAGTTCCGGCAGTATACGTGAAAAATCACGACAGTGTCGTGCACAATAGGTATGTACATATATTATATTCATGTACATGTGTTTAATAGAAAAGAGTTCGGTCCGCTTTTTTTGTACTTAAATTTTATACGCTCGAACTGTACACCTTATGCCTGTTATGCCTGAAGTCAATTTTTCATCAGCTTGTGCTCTCGTGGACGTAAGTGTACAAGGTATAAGTTTTCGAGCGCAGTGCATAACATAATGTAGCGTTTAATTTCTTTTCACTTATTTTTTAAGGGCAGCACGGATAATATAATATTTTTTCATTGCTTTTTGCGCATCGTAATCGACGATAAAGACGACCATACATATTTCATTGTACCCACCAATCGAGTTACATACTAGTCGACTACCTACTTATAACGAGCATATAATTATACAGTATGTGCGATCACCACGGACATTATATTAAATATAAATTTTATATTATACAAGTAAAATCCGAGTTGTTCTGCTGGTGGTGGGAGTATCCGATGCCTGTATTACTTCGTTACCGTAGAGTCGCGCGTTTTTGTCTGCAATGGGGAGGGGGAGAGACAACAATTGTGCGCTCGGAGTGGCTCATAAGTATACAACAACCCAATAGTGCGGGAGGGGGAGGGGCCAATAATGGCACGCCGAAGAGTGTACAAGGGAGATCGATAATTACAATACAGCTGCCCCCGCAAACACCCCGATGGAGAAGAAAAAATAGCTTCCTTCATACGTTCACAAGTCTTTGACTCTACTGGCAAATGTTGCTCCTGTGCCTACGTCAAGTACTTGTATAGCTTCTATATACTATGTATATATATAATACACATGTGTATATTCTTATGTCGCAGGTACACCATTAAAATATAATATGATACTCGGTTACATAAATCAGCTACGTGTGGCGAGTAAGACTGCAACCGCAGTGAGACATTTCTTTTTTTTTGCGGGTACAGTATACAAGTAATGGCCGATGATTTTCACATACTCCTGTATCCCTCGTTGGCACTATATGGGCTAAGTTATAAGAATTAATTTTCAATTAGTCTGTACTACTATCGATTCATGAACATCATTTTCAAGGAGTACAGTGTGTACACAGAGTATACAATTATACCATCGAACGAATCGATGCAAATCAGACTGGTTGATTTTACAGAGAGATACTTGTCGACTCTGCTACATGGTCACACCAAGAAAAGGACATAAGAACGAAATAGCATTGCATTGATAAGTGATACAGAAAGTCGGTGCACAAGTTCTCCCACACGTGCCTTTCTGGGCGATGGTGTTGGCAGACAGGATGTAATGGCAAAACAAGGGTAAAACACGTATCCAACGGGGCGCGTGCGCGTGCTTGCTTATATAAGTATCCATTTGTGTGTGTGTGTGTGTGTGTGTGTGTGTGTGTGCGTGTTAATGTGTGTCCTTTTGCAATTTGCAAATCCATCGTACATACGTGCGTACACGCGTTCGCGGGCAAGTGGAGATCTCAGAAAAAAATCAACGTGCGACACAAGAATTACATAAACGTATTCACGATCCCGAGTATTTTGTCATGGTACAACGTGCGCCCTCTTGTTATTACTTTTATTTGGAAAAGAGTGCTGAGACAAAGTATAATCAAGTATAACGATTGGTGTTGTGCCAACGCACTGTTAACTGGTGAGGTTTAAGGACTTGTTGTTATTGTTGATTTTCATTGTATATGATATATAATGCGGTAGAAATTGTTGTTCGGAAAAATAATGGAAACTATAGATTGTCGAACGTCACTATACGGACGGTAGAATGTCGCCAAGGTCACCGTAGGTGCTGGCACTGTTATTCGCGTGATTTGTTTTCAGAGAGGGGTCGGGGATATTGTATTATAACTATTGTGTATACCAGGTAGGTACGTCTAATGAGGAACTGTAGCTCGACTCTTTTGGTCGTGATTCGGCTCCGGAAAATGTTAGAGCTGCCCCTGAAAAACCACGCGCGGGTCTATTTTTGGTAGAATTTCGAGTCGATCGGTTTGCCCCCCCCCCCTCCTTCCTTCCTCACAAAAAAAATTTTTTTTTTCTCAAACTTTGGTGGTACCGATGTTTTATTTGTGAGCGCAGTAGGAGGAACCAGATATCTTTCTTGCTCGAACGATTACATGAAATTGCCACTGCAAAATTTAAGGAGAAATATTAAAATTTCCCAAATCAGCTGGGTCTTCGACCTAAACAAGAATTTTTTTTTTTTTTTCATCGAGTCAACCAATAGCGAAAAGAGCATCTTAACAAAAAAAAAAAAAAAAAAAAACTACGAACGGGTTTGCCATTTCGTGATTTTTCGGGGACTCCGACGCGTACAGTTGAAATATACACATATTATATGTGCACACAGTCGCAAAGAGGACACGAGCGCAAAGGAGAGGGATGGAGCTACATGTACGTACGTATATACACACAATACGCGCAGAGCCACATTGCGGCAGTGCAAGCTCGTGTCGATCGTTGGTTGAAAGTGAAAGGAGGTTGGCTCGCTCGCAATGCAACGCGCGAGCTCGCGAGTTGTTTTCTGCCGGGTGCACGTGTACAATACATTATACACCTATATTAGTCCACCACTGGCGCGCTCGACTTGGGCAAATGGACCTCCTCTTCCCCTGTCCTTATTACTCACAGG